AGGGAAAGCTCGATTAGGTCCTTTCAGTTGTCAAGCCTGGCCTGCTGCCATAGAAGCCCCCATTTCCCCCCCTCCTGCTTGAGTCGCCATGGTGACAGGGGAGTAAAACCTGGCCGGTTGCATCAGAGCAATAGGGGCAGGCTATAGAAATAATATTTGCAGATCTTCCTACATGTTCTCACACCTTCTCCTATTCACAGGGAATCAGAGGTGGTTTCGGGGAGGAATGGAGTTGAGGAGGGAGAAAAAAATCTCCAGAGGGCCAAATGGCACCCAAGGAGACCTCATTTATTTGCTGCTCTGAAATGAGAGGGATGAAGTGGGAGGGGGGGAGGGAACGGGGTCTTATTTCAGAGTCATTCTCCCATTGACCATCATCCACCCATGCCCTGGACCTGTGTTGCTCACCCAAGGAACCAGGCTGGTGCGTGGTTTGCCTTCAAGCTACCCGAATTCCACACTAAGGGAACTCAAACGATGAGCCGAGGGACTCTTGGTTTCTTTCACTAAACCAATATGGGTGTCTTTTCTTTGAGGCCGCCTCTGCCAGGAGACAGAGTGGGTCCTCAGGTAGCAGACGTTTGGGGAGGGTGACAGCTCTCTCTTATTTCCTCTGGGAAGTCTCCGCACACACGGGCTGGGCTTTTTCTCCTCCGGGACTTTGCAAGAGCTGTCCAAAATGGGGAGTGGGCTCCGCTCAGCACCTCGGACAGCTCTTCCTGTCAGGTCCAGGCTAAAAACTGGTGCGGATTCACCGCCTCCTTGGGAGTGGAGTAATCAGCTGCCCCGGCCCCAAAGTCTTCTTTGTTGTCATTTAGTCATTAAGTCGGTTCCTACTCTTCGTGACCCCATGGACCAGAGCACGGCCAGGCCCTCCTGTCTTCCACTGCCTCCCAGAGTTGTGCCAAATTCATGTCGGTCGCTTCGATGACCCTGTCCAGCCATCTCGTCCTCTGTCGTCCCCTTCTCCTCTTGCCCTCACACTTTCCCAGCATCTGGGTCTTTTCCAGGGAATCTCCTCTTCTCATGAGATGGCCAAAGGATTGGAGTCTCAGCTTCGGGATCTGTCCTTCCAGTGAGCACTCAGGGTTGATTTCCTTCAGAACGGATAGGTTTGTTCTCTTTGCAGTCCAGGGGACTCTGAAGAGCCTCCTCCAGCACCACAATTCAAAAGCATCCATTCTTCGGCGGTCAGCCTTCTTCATGGTCCAGCTTTGCCAAGAAAACCCTATGAACAAAGTATTCTACAGGAGCCTAAAGGTTGCCCTTCTCAAAGATGGTGGATGGACCTGCTTTGTTAAATAGGATCCCACGGGCAGTCTAGCGCCCATCAGATTCCATACAGGGAATCAGTGAGAGGTACCACCTTCTTGTATGTTTTAGGCAGCAAGATGTTCTGCTAACACCATCCTTTCGGATAATTGTTTCTCGTGATGCTCCAGGAGAGATAAGAAGTTGCACCCCCTCACCAGAAGGCTGATGGAATCCACATCCTCTCTCTCCCCCACTTTTTTATTCTGTTGGGTCCTGCTTGCCTTTAAAACCCCCCAAATGTGTCAGAATACATAAATCCTGCCAGTGTCTGCCTGGGATTTCGGACACGGATCTCCTCCAGCCCTTCCTGGAGATGCTGGACGTGGACTTTTGGATCTTTCTCACTTCATGCGTGGTGAACCAAGATGCGCTCAACCTGCCACTGCAAATTAAAGAAACCATGCACCAACAGGGTTGCAGCCGAGGTGTCCTCCTTCGCCAAAGGGGCCTGGAAGAAAATGTCCGAGGAAACCGAAGCCCTGTCAAATTACTTGGTCTTCTGGGCCAGTATGGGCTCCTCTGGCTCAGCAGCCAACTCTCTCCAGAGTTTCAAAACATCTTCCCCAGCATCACCTATTGAGTCCTTTTGATGACAACACACACATCCTTAGTGATTCAAAGGGTGTGTTTCATCACTGAACCAGGTTCTCTTCCCCTAAAACAATGGCCCAGGTAGGATAATGTAAGAAAGGAAGCCAGAGCAGCAAGGGAGACTCCTGCGTTCCAAATCGGTGGAGGATCCTGACTGTGAAAGGTTGTGGGTTTTTTTGTTTTTTGTTTTGCATTTTTGTTTTGTTTTTTTTGTTTTGTTTTTTTGGCGCTAGGAGGTTGATGGCACCCATTTGGCCTAAACTTTAAGAGGTAGCCAAGATGCTGAACTTATTTAGGGCTGAGTGTTCAGCACCCCGGATAGTTCTTGTGACGCTCAGATGAGTGTCTGGACTGGATTCATCATCTTACAAAATTGGAACCAGTCCGCTGTCTATTCATCACATGGCCTTGGACACATCATCATCCTCTTAGAACTGCACACCTGGAAGGAATCCAAAGAATCACCGAGTCCAGCCACACATTCCCAGTTACAGGTGTTTTTATCTGCAAAGGGGAGGCGGCCACCATTAGTGTAGGATGACTGGTTTCTTGTGGGGGGGGGAAGAACTTTTAAGACAGCGTTAGGGACTGCCCTGTTGTATTTCTCCTCCTCTAAAAGGAAGACACAGCAGCCGGCCATATCAGGTGGGCTGGTTTCTATACAGTAACCCTGGAAGACTCGAGGTTTCCAACAGAGCCCTGAGAAATTCCTGCTGATCTGGAGGAAGGGCCATCATCATCTCAACCAGGTGATGCCTGCTCATTGAATTCCTCATGTTGAAAAGAGATTCACACACAGATCAGCCTGAAGGGGCTTAAGTCCATGAATGCTTGCACCAGGTAAGACTTCTTGGTAAGCCAAGGTGCCACCACAACAGACGGTTGTTTTCGGTGCAATGTTTTTTTCCAAGGTACCTACCTGTCAAAACCTGGCCTTAGGAAAGCACAGACATCCACCCTCGTTGGTATAGGAGGGTTGATGGGTGCTGTAGTCCCCACAGAGGGGTTAGGGGTGAATGGTGGCTCTTCTGAGCCAAATTCACCTCTGCGACCCAAAGACCCTTTGCGACATGAAACTGTCAGGGTCAAGGGAGGACCTCTCTGGAGGTGAACTGGACCCCTCCCATGGGGCCCACACGCTCAGCCCAAAACAGGAGGGAGAACGGAAAAGATGCAGGTCCCCCTTTCCTCTTTCCCCGGCTATCGTCCACCTGCTTCAGAGGAGGAAAGATCCTTCCTTGGGGGGGGGAGAGGCCCTCCCTTTCTGTCCAGCCACATACATATCAAGCCCCTTGCTCTCCTTCTGAGAAGAAGCGCACGCCCGGCTGAACACACCCCATTTGCACAAACTCAGCCCTGAAGGCAACTGCAGACGGAGGATTCGAGAGGCAGGGAGAAGCAGGCAAGGAAAGCTGGAGGGAGGGAGGGAGAGGGCTGACACCCGATTGACTGAACAGAGCAGTTCCTGGGGCAACATCAGTTGGGACTTGGGCGCGTCCGACACAGCGAGTGCCCTGCTTTATTATGCAACCTCTTACGTTTAATCTACACAAAGACCCGGAAATACCTCTCACATCTAAGCACGAGAACCTGTTCCCATGCTGTTATTTATTTTAACATAATTTTTGCTCATGGGGCTAGGAAGTGGTGCCTGTGGGACGTGCAAAGAGGGACACACCTGTCTTGCTACCAAAGCCCTGCAGGTGCTCACAGGTAAGGAGGGCCCTGCCGCGTTCTGCCACACCTGCAGAGACGGTCCAGGACAAGGTACGGCCCTTCGGCTGATGCTGGACTACAACCCCTATCATCTCTCTCTCCAACAGCCAAGCCGCATCTGTCATCCAAAGCTGCTTCTTGTTGGACCCTTGTGAAAGACAGCAGGATATAAAGAGCAAACTATATGCATGAATACGGATCAATCCATCCATCACTGTGTTTTCCTTGCCCTGATGGGACCAGGGTTGTCAAATTTCTTGGACAACACATCTCATAATCCCCTATTGCAGGAGTTCTCTCTGACTTAGACACACCTTACAGACGCTGCAATGTGGCTTGCTTGAGTGCAAGCCCTAAACTGGAAGACTTTGAAGCTTAGCTCGGCCTAGATTCTGCCTACCCGCCCCCCGTTCCAAAAGAAAGCTCCCAGCTAGCACTGGGGCAGGAACAGGAAGCTTGGGTGGAGGCTAGGCCAGGCTAAGACTTCTAGTTGAGGCCATTTCTTTCAGACGAGCCACACTTAGGCATCTGTAAAGTGTGTTTAAATCTAGAAGCCGATTCTACTAGAATGGGGAATTTGTACTCAAAGGAATCCAAAAAGTCCCATCTTGTTGGGAGACCATCAAGAGGGGCCTGGAAGTCACGGCCCGCCCTTGCTCCTCAGCACACCTGGCCTTTGGCAGCCTCCCAGGTAACCACCACGGACAAGCAACTGGAGGCTCAACTCACTAGGGAGGATGGCCCTCTTGTGGTGCTGGGACTCCCGAACAGCCTCTTTTTCCACCCTTTTGCCAACATGTGTTTTGAGAACTGAGCAAGGAAAGGTGGCCTCAAGAGTCCTCTGCATCCAAAATAAGATTATTGGGGGGGGGGAGAGGAGAATGTCCTTTCAAAGCAAAGCATGCTGCTCATATACTGCCCCACAGCCCTTAAAGCACTCTCTGGGTGGTTTACAATTTACAGTAATTGTGCAGGCTACACACGCCCCGCCCTCCCTGCAGCAAGCTGGGTACTCAATTTACTGACCTCAGAAGGATGGAAGACTGAGTCAACCTCGAAGCCGGCTACCTGAAGCCGTGAACATCAAACTCAGGCCCCTGAGCAGAGTCTTGACCAGGGTACTCAATTTACTGACCTCAGAAGGAGTCAACCTCGAAGATGGCTACCTGAAGCTGTGAAGATCAAACTCAGGCCCCTGAGCAGTCTTGACCGCAGTCCTGCCGCTTAACCCCTTGTGCCAGGAGGCTCCTTTCAAGCCCCTCCTTCCTTTGCGCCCTCGAGATCAGGCACGGCCCCTTTGAGGCAAAAGCCCTCTTTAACGGCCAGATTCAGGAGCCCACCCTCCTCCCGCGACAGTCCAAGCCAGGTGTGAGAGGGACTACACAACAGCCCATTTATTCCAAAACTTGTTCATATTATACAACTCAAGAGGCCCCTCTGTGCATGCCCGGATAATATGTCTGCCTCCCCAACATCGCGAGGTGGTGGTGAGAATGATGGGCATCCTCCACTCGAAGCAACCATCCATTCCTCCGTCTGTCGCTTCTGGGGCCTATGCACACGCACGCACGCGCGCAATCTATCTGGCCATCTCTTCTGCTATCGTTTTGCTCATCTTCGCCCTGAGGTAGGCGGCCTTCTGCCATTCCATCTTCAAGTCATGCCATTCGTAATAAGGAACCTGCAACGAGAGGAAGAGGAAGGGGGGAGACTGAGGTCAGAATTCCCCCCAGGGGAGCAGCAAAGCAGGCACTCGTTGGGTGAACGCTGGCTGCTCTTTGGGCCAAAAGGGACAAGATCCCGGGAGGGCCGAAAGCCGGACTGGAGCCGGAGGAATTTCTGCAACGAAAAACCTAACAAGCTCTCACTTAGGAAGCCTTTTTGCTTTTGGTCCCGTAACAACGATGAGGATTAGTTCCTCTTCTCTTTTTTTCCCTGTACGCTGCAGCGACGCTTGAACACCCTCGTTCTTGATAGGTGCCGTCCAGTCGGCTCCAGTTTAGGGTGACCCTATGAACGGACGACTTCCAGAACCAAGAGGAAGAGGGAGGGGGGAGACTGAGGTCAGAATTCCCCCCCAGGGGAGCATCAAAGCAGGCACTCGGCAGGTGAACGCTGGCTGCTCTTTGGGCCGAAAGGGACAAGATCCCGGGAGGGCCGAAAGCCGGACTGGAGCCAGAGGAATTTCTGCAACGAAAAACCTAACAAGCTCTCACTTAGGAAGCCTTTTTGCTTTTGGTCCCGTAACGACGATGAGGATTAGTTCCTCTTCTCTTTTTTTCGCACACTGCAGGGACACTTGAACACCCTCGTTCTTGGTAGGTGCTGTCCAGCCGGCTCCAATTTAGGGTGACCCTATGAATGGACGACTTCCAAAACCTCCAGTTGTCAACTGCTCTGCTCAGCTCTTGCAGACCCAAGCCTGTGGCTTCCTTGAGGGAGTGAACCCCTCTCACGCTGGGCCTTCCTGGCAGGCTACCTTCCCTTTAAATAAGAGTGGCTTCCAATGATTACGGTTTTAACATGCATAAACACCAACTGATCAAAGTTCCCATTATGCTGAAGGACAGGAGGGCAAGGCAACCCTCTGCTCCCGGCTGGGGCAGAGACAGGGTATGCTTTCCTAAACAGAAAGCCCCCCCCCCAGCCCGTCTCTGTTTGAATAAGTTGTCACTTCGGCTTGTAAGCGGCGGAGGTCATGCCACCAGACCCCCAGCCACTCTGTGTCAGGGGGTGACAGCCCGGGATGGGAGGAGAAACACACCGGATTTGTCCGGACGGTTGGTCAAGAACAATCTCCGACTTCTTCCACCCGGGTGACCGCCAGCGCTCGGCACCCCAGGCTGTACAAACAAGGGACCGAGCAGCACCGGGAAAACTTTAAACCTGGCCTGCCACAACTCGCCCAGGGGAACCCGCAGCTGTGGTAATCCCACAACACGAACTGGCGAACCAGCAAGACCCTGCTGGGCTGGGCTCAGAAGGTGCTGGGCAATCCTGGAGTGGAAGGTTGTTGTTTTTTAAACAGAGGCAGGTTGGCCATTTGCTTGGATTCAAGTGGACTCTTTCCCCCCCAGCTTCAAACAGAGGGTGGGCGCCGCGACCCTTGGGGTCTCTTCAGCCCTACGATCCTGTGATATTATCCTGCCTGAAAAACAAGTGGCTTTTGGGCCAAGAGCAGGCGGGATCCAGCATCTGGCACGGGTACAGGGCCACTGTGGAACCCATGCTTTGCCAAGGCCACCCTCCCAGTTCCCAACGACTACACAGAGAGCCAGTGGCCGTGTTGAATGAGACAGGTATGGGGTGGGGGAAGAGAGAAAAGGGACAGCAGGTTGCAAAAACTCAGGGCC